CAATTGTCTTCTAATGATAGACAGTTGAAGTACTCACCCTCATGATAAGTATAAAAATGTTAGGATTTTTTTCTTTTGTCAAAAAACCTTTGCACAACTGTATTCTATGGATCAAGGGGTGATAAAAATGTTAAGAAATATTACCACAAAATAATTTTGAAGGAGACCTCAATGGGAATTGAGAGAACCCTGTATAAGTAATCAGTGTAATAAGTTTACAGGACTGTGTATCTGAACTTACAAATGTGTTAAATTATGATGTTACTGAAAAACTGTTTGCAAATCCTTCATAAAATCTATCTTCATCGCCAAGATTCATACTACTATTAATAGTAATGTCAGCAATGATGGACAAGATGAGGAACTGAATGAATAATATGTGTCTGCATTAAAAAAATTTTAAGACAACTAAACAATAATAAACAATTGCAAGATTATTTATGTGTAGGTAATGGTGTTGTGACATCAGGAATTCCTACTGAAGAGGACATATTGGACAGCTCAAAAAAATAACAGCCAGAAATCAACTGATGTTGATGAAGATGAAAATAAATGTATAATATCTTCATCAGAAGATATATTTAGGGCATTTGATGCTTTACTTAGCACTAGTTTAGATAAGTAGTGTAAATATTTTAATTAGATATGTAGTTTAGTTTGTTGAGTACGTTTGACATGTTCATGTTTAAGAAAGTTGACCAGAAAAGGTTTTTTGGCCATTACAATGCGAGACTTACTATAACATGAAATATTGTTCATGATTGTCAAAACAAACTAAAATAACTGATTATTTTCCTAAATGAATTTATGTAATTTTCATTTATAACTGTGTTGGAATGGATGCATTAACATTTTGCATTTATATTTAATTTCACTACTAGTTTGTATTTCAAATTAAAAAAAAAAAAAAATCCCTTAAGTCATTTTTTATCATAACCTCCATTTAGTTAAGTTTTTCATAGGATTCTGCAACTTCATTAAACAAAGGTTTGACTGTACTGCAAGTCTGGCTTACATGGGCATTTTCATCATTTTTCCTTTGTGTAGCACGAATGACACATTTTTCCATAGAAGATCTTCCACAGAGTCCATAGAGGTCCTTAAGCAAATAATCCTTATATATTTTATCATAATCAATTACAAACAAATTATATTGTAATGCATTTAAATTATTGTAGAATTAAATTGCTTGTATTATTTTAGCGTAAAAAGTGTTTATTAGTCCCTATGAAATAAAGTAAAATGAAACCATAACAATGAACAGAACTTAAATACATGCATTAATTATATTATGATGATTATCCATCTGCATGCACATCAGTGGTTGGCAACGGTATTATCATAATTCGTTTTTGCATCTGACAAAAATCTAATGTAAAATATAATTCAAACCCTCATTTTGGCCTTGACATTGACAGAATGTGATATAACCAACTTTTGCACATGTATGATTTTAAATGAAAACTCAAAATTAAATTCCACTCATTCAAAATCTGAGAAAGTCTTTGATACCAAAGAATGCTTATCATTTTGTGAAATATGTGTATATTAATTATCATTCTGTCTAATGTGGCATACATCAATACAGAATGATATATCACTTTTGTAACACATACTTTTCTGATATTGAGATTTTCATAGCCAGAATTTACTTTGTTGTTAAGAAAGATCACAGCATGAAAATTTTCAAATGTTGTAAGGCCAAGCTCCATTAGTTCTCTGAAATTTTTGCTTTGTAAAACAGTTTGATTGAAGCTTGATAATGCCTTATTAGGTGGATTTGATATTAAGGACAAGCTGTACACAATTTAAAAATTACTTAAATTCCACTTCTATACTTTCTGATAACTTCTTCCAATTGCAGCCCTGTATTATTGTATAGTTTTGGCTTTCCAAGCATTCTTTCTTTTCTATGTGTGTTAAATTATCATTCAAAGTAAATTTTAAAATACTTGATTGGCCATGTTATAGATAAAACTTAAGAGTACTTCTTTGTTATGGCAGCCCTCAAGACTGAATTGCCACTCAACTGAGATATCTCATCAAAACCTGGCTGTATGTTCTTATACCTCACCACATGATCATATATTAGCACTGGCTGCATGCTCTTATACCTTGCCGCATAATCATATATGAGCACCATGTTGCATTTTTACTCTCACCATGTTTCATATATTATTCATTTTTGATGGTGGTGTTTTTTGATATTAACAATCTTTAATTTACCAAGTAATGAGGTGTATTCCGTATAATTTTTTTCAAGAAAGAGGTCTTTTACTTACCAAACGATTAGGCGAAAATAGCCACAACATGAAATTTTATGTTGACGAAATCATTTGCAATGTTAAAAATTTCAAAAAAGAAGAAAGGGCCTCCATGTTGGAAACTGGTTCAGTGGTTCCAGAATATTATTTGTGACTGCTATTAGAATACATACATTAATTATATTATGCTGATCATCCATCTGCATGCATATCAGTGGTTGGCAATAGTATTATCATAATTTGTTTTTGCATCTGACAAAAATCTAATGTATTGACTGCTATCAGATTTACCTATTCTTGGGCAGAGTTTGAATTCTTTGGGAGAGAGATCTATGAAATGGTCTAACAAACAGCTTAATATATGTGAAAGTGCAGTAGATTGAAACAGTTAAATGCAATAAAATAATAAGGATAAGGGTAAGGATTCATAAAAATAATTCTTAGGAATGGACATGCAAATATTATTGTTATTATTATTGTATTGTTTAATTTTACATTCGCGATTCAGAAGCTTAACGAAATTATAGCTGAGATCTTGGCGCAAATCTAAAATCACAGAATATGGTTGAAGGCAGCTATAACAAAGAAGTTCTTACTAAACTTGCATTGGAAGTCTGGTTAAGAAACCTGTAGTGGTTTGTAGGTAGCTTTAAAGTTAAAAAAGTTTTGCTTTATTCTGTGCAGTAAAATGTTCTCCATTGTCTTCCAGTTTCATTGATGTACATCTTCTTAAAATCAGTGGCAATTAATTAAATTTGCCTATTAAATTTAATCGAACGCTCCAAAAATTTTTTTAAAAATTAGTTATTGTAGCATTCTTGAACATATGTGACTAAAATTAAAATAAGGAGGCTGCTAATTATTGCTTCTATTGTTCCTTGAATTTCTTTTATGTTCCTAATACAGATTGTAAACGTGTGTCCCACAATTTTTTTCTTTATTATATATAATTGAAAATATTGTCAAAGTTTTTCTTTTTTTTTTTTTTTTTTTTTTACTATTTAGTGCATTTGACTAAGCCATATAATAAATAATAAATTTAAAAAAAAAAAAAAAAAGGTTTTTTCGATTTTGTTGAACTTTTAATCTATAGTAGGGGTCTTAAATTGGTGGACCCTGGCTATTTTATGCAGCCTGCAAAGACATTTCTGTTATAAATTTTTTGCAAATACAAAATTACAAAGATTTCAAGATTTTAATTATTTAAAGTCAAAGTTTGCATTATTTTTATTACCATTAAAACTAACATGAATAATGCAACAGGAAATTTATAAAGAGTTAACTAATTTACTGTGTAATAGAAATCTTATTCAGAGATTTGGAGGTACAGGTTTTATTAACTTTTATTCATATTTGTCAAAAAATAAATCAGTTACGAATTTGTGCACTAAGAATAATCTTTTTATTCGGGAATACATTCGCATATGAACAGCTATTTTTCATGGTTAAAAATTCACTTAAAAAAAAAAAAAACCATTGAACAATGAACATTTACGATCCACAATGAAGATAATTTCTAGTAATTTTTCTCCTAGGCTACAAGCTTTATCTAAATCAAAAGGCCATCAAGTATCAAGCTATAGTAAGAAATAAAAGGATTTTATAAGTATTTACATACAAGCATATGTATTTTTATTTATGTGTCAAAGAAAAATTTAATAAATAAGAGAAAGAGACAAAGTTGTCATTATTCTCCTCAAGTTTTGGCCTAAATGGAAAATTTTCTTTAAAAAAGTGAAGAAAGTTTTCATAATTTCTTTAAATTAGAGAAAGTTACTTTATGATTAATTAAATATGTTAAAACTATTTTAAATATACAGTCTGAAAATTTAATATTTATCAGTATATTTAAATTACAAAATGCAACTAAAAAAGTGTCTTGCAGGTATCAAATTTGAGATTTTAAATAGAAAATAAATAAAAGTTTGAATTCATTTTCTTTGAGATATTATTACTGTTAATGTTTTAAAAAATACTTAGTAAATGACATTTAAAATTTATTTATTTATTTATTTTGTTAATATTTTAAAAAATTCTTGCTCATCATCTGTTTTCAGATCATGCCACAGATAATTTAACTTACTAGACTACTGGTAAATGCAAGAAAGTAATAAAGAAAATCATTCTTTCTGAAAGTAAGAAAGTTATTCATTCTGATTTGGCACAAGATTATATTGAATTCATTTAATTTTCTTTGATTTACAATTCTGAACTCATCATTTTTTAAAATCATGGGTCTTTATATAAAAATTCATCAATTTTAATAGCTGCACTATAGCTGAAAAGAATCAAATGATGTTTAAAAAAATTCAGCCCAGTGCATTAGAATTTCCAAAATATTAGGTCTGTCCGATATGTAAAGATCAAATATCTATAGTTATTAATTTGACTGTTAAATCAGGGTTTGTGAGAAAATTCAAGAATAAATTATAAATAATATTAAATGAAATCCCTGTATTGAATTTCGAAAAATTTCTTCGAAATATTCTATTGGCATCACAAGTACATAATTGTGAAACATGCAAAGAAAATCAGATCAGTAGAAGAACGTCAGAAGTTATTTTCAAAATTTAACCCTCCTCCCTCAAAAAAAAAAAAAAAAAAAAAAAAAAAAAAAAAAAAAACTGCCTTACTAAACTGTATAAAAAGGAAGCTTTCTTTTCATAACTTGTTGTTTGCAGACTTTTGTTAATAAAATATATGAAATGAAAAAAAAATTTTTTTTGTATTTTACAGTGAAATTTTCTTTGTCCGTAATCATTTACCAGTGCCAGAAGTTAATTCTGAAGAGTATGAACTTGAAGTGAGTGGAGAAGGCATAGAAACTGTGAATTTAAAACTTGAAGATATTAAAAAAAAGTTCAAAAAACATACTATTACTTCAACAATACAGTGTGCTGGAAACAGACGTTCTGAATTGAATAATGTAAGTCATTGCTCTAATGTAATTTTATTGTTGTCTGGTAGTTTCTAAATAGTATTTAATATGTTTTTATACTCTATTTTACAAAAATAATTAATTATCAAATTTGTGGAATTTTAGGCTATAGCGTCATAGGTACATAATAAAATAAACTATCTCCACCCAAGTTACGAATCTCCAAAACGAATTTTATACTGTCAAAAGTTGTTAATTCGGACACCCATAATCCGGAATGATCTATAATCCGGACCTCGTGCGTTCACGCATGCGCATATGCGTTTACGCAGCGGCGCGCAATGAATTGGAAATTGATCTGTCAGCATTATCCTTATCTTCAGGGCAGGTGTTTTTATTTTATTTGGCTTAAATTTCCTTACTAAATGTAGTATTCATTTCGATGTACTCCGTCTTTGATATGATTTAAATCAAATTCCTCGTCATTATAATTCGCTTCCGATAGTGAAGAAAGTGACACAGAGGTTATCGAAAATGAAAAAATTTCGATTGACAAATTAGTCTGTATTCTCGACACAGCAATTATAGGACTTGAACAGCAGAACTTTGTAACTGAACAAGAAATTATGTCTCTTTATAGAATTAAAGAGAAAGTATTATCACATAAAACGAAGCAACTTAAACAACTTACATTGAAAGAGATGTTTAATAAAGTAAACAAATAAATATTAAGCTTTTTCTTTTTGTAAATTTTGATACCCTTTAGATCATATTTGTTCTTTATTTCATAAATTACGGTTTCATATTTTTAATTTTATAATTTCTGCATGCCATCTTACGAGATTTAAACTGATGATCTATAATCCAGAAAAATCGATAATCCAAAATCGCCGAAGTCCCGACGAGTCCGGATTAACGACTTTTGACTGTACCTTATTTCAGTATATTGAAATTTCTCTTGTTCTTTTCATGACTTTTTTGGCAGGAGGAGGAGTTATATTCCTAATCATTTGAAAACCTTAAATTTCTTATGTGTTGTGTAAGTATTTTATACGTACACCTTTCTGTTTTTCCCACATATTTGATTTTGATTTACTGGACTTTTCTCTTCCTTCCATAAGCACTAAAATTCTGTGTTTGCATAGAAAATTGAACATTCCTTCATGAAATAATTAACTTTGCATTTTCACTTTTTGCTGCGTTTGTGTGCATGAATATGATTTATAAATTTTGAAAAGTACTTTAAGTAACTAATTAGATGAATTTGCAGTAAATAAGATAAGCAAATTTTGCTATTAAAAAGCAGTATGTTCAAACTTGTATAATTATTGACATATAAAAATTATCTAATGATATATCCTATTTATTCAGGTAAAAGAAGTAAAAGGTTTGAATTGGGGGTCTGCTGCTATCAGCAATGCAGAATGGAGTGGAGCACTATTATATGATGTTTTAAAATACTGTGGTGTTAATTTTAATGATCCAGATATTCAACATGTGCAGTTTGAAGGTTTAGATACAGATCCAGCAAATATGCCTTATGGTGCTTCCATACCTGCCGAAAAGGTACTTTATATTCCAAAATAGATTAATACTATTCTTTCCCTGAATTAAAATCCATTTTTAGAGATTTTTTTAGAAATTCACTAACAATCATTTAGAATATCTGAGTATCTAATGAATGTACCTTCAAAATACCTAATAAATATGTGTAATATTTCCAGTTTATCTCTGTAAGCTGTTAGATAGTTTAATATATGAATAACATTTTGTCTTTTAAATTTTATTTTTTAAAATGCTTTTTTGTTTATTTTTTATATATTTAAATTTTTAAAATTATAAAGTTAGAAAGAAAAGATCATTTAGCCAGTTCACTGACATTTCATATTTGTTTTGATTTTTCTAATATAGGCATTAGATCCAAAAAGTGATGTGTTGTTAGCTTATGAAATGAATGGTAAAGAGCTTCCAAGAGATCATGGGTATCCCATAAGAGTAGTTGCTCCAGGAATTGTTGGAGCAAGAAATGTTAAGTGGCTAGGTAAAATAATTGTTAGCGAAGAAGAAAGTAATAGCCATTGGCAGCAGAATGATTATAAAGGTAATTTACTTATCTGTGTTCTTAACATTGAATATTTATTAAATTTGCGGGGTTTAGTAAAGTTAGGCACAGCATGGAAATTTAAATTTTTGCAAATTTTGTATAATGAAATATAAATTCAGTTCTAAGAAGTTTGCAAAATTTGAGATTAAAAATAGAGGAGATGGTAAAAATTGAAAGATCATAGTTGTACATTTCAGGCATATTTTACTCCATTGTAAAAATAAAGTGTTTTAATCATATTAATATTTATTGATCTATAATTAAGTTCATTACAACACTCTCACATGGCACATTGTTTATTCCAGACAACATCAACTGACAATTACTTCACTTCAGTTTGACCAGCAATTAGCGTGTTGCCACATATATGTAACATCTCCCCTCTTTTGGGAAACTCATAGAAATCAATGCATTACATAATTATCATATTTGGGTGGTAGATATACATTACGACCCCTTGTTTTATATACACAATCACGATTAATATCATTGCTATTATTTTGATGGTGAGGATCATTATGTATTTTTGGATGTTCACTACTTATATTTTCCTTATTCTCATTACATAGAGATCATAATAGTCTAATGTCACTAAATTCTGGTTTTTAGTTTTTCTTAAATGGAATTTATTCCATCTAATTACCCTATTATCTTTTGTTCTAATCCAATATGATCTAGGAGTTGAATGCTTTATGGCAGTTGTTGATGGATGCCATTTTTTATTGTACGATGAATGTTAACAAAATCTGACTTGGTAATATTAACATTTATATTTAATTCTAGGATGATATATATTTTAACATATATTCACTTATACATAATCACATTGCATGTAGTTACAAGATGAGTATTTTTGCAGTTTGCAAGTCCGCATGAGTAAAAATCAAGAAAGTCATATTACAGCCACGATAACATCACTTAAGGCAGCAAGAGAGGTGAGTGTGTGCTTCCACCGACAGCAGCCGGAACAGAGTAACCAGTCCGAATTTCCTCCAGAGAGGAGAGGAGAAAGCTGGTAGCGCCCTCTCTTGGGCCAGTGGACAAATAATAATAATAGTAAAGAGTTCTACTCAATATCCCCCCCCCGAGTACCAAAGTTACGATGAAAAAATCAGTTTCACAAATATCTGGTGTTGAAGCGCACACATCTTCCCCAATCGTGTGACGACTGGTGGAGCACTGGGAGGAAGCGTAAGGTCGATTGAAGGAGGAGCATCCTGGAGAAACAGTTGGGTTCCGGGGAGTCGAGGAGGATTTCGCCTGGCCACAGGAACCTGAGTGTTTGAAGCTTCGAAGAAAGGCAGGCTTCAGTCGATCTATGCCTCAGAACGGCTTCCTTGTCGCGCACGAGAAGCGGTGAAATGTTTATTGTTACGTGCGCAGACCTTGAAGGGTTCCATCCCGTATGGAGGAGTGAGTGGTGGTTTGACCACGTCGTTTCGCACAAACACATGAGTGCAAGTGCTCAGTGTGTGGTGCACGAAAGGGACAGATTTGTTGTGGCACGAAGTATGAGTCGGAGACAGCTTCTTCATCGCCTCTCGGAAAGTCTGGACAAAGTATGCTGGATCGACTGGAGCAGAGGATGGCTGAAAGAACTCAGATGGTAATCGAAGGGGTGTGCCGTAGACAAGTTCAGCGGATGTACCTGCAAGGTCTTGCTTGAAAAAAGAACGCAAACCAAGAAGCGCAAGAGGAAGTGAAGTAGTCCAACGGCTGTCATTACGGCACTTCAGAAATGCTTTCAGGTTGCGATGTAAGTGTTCCACTAAGCCGTTGGCGGAAGGATGGTATGGTGAAGTGCGAATTCAGCGTATTCCAAGCATAGATGTCAGAGAAGCAAAAAGGTGTGACTGGAATTGTCGACCTTGATCAGTAGTCACAACTGATGGTACACCAAATCGTGCAATCCAACCGGTGATGAATTGTCGAGCCACAGAGTCAGCAGAGGTGTCCTGAATGGGAAAAGCTTCAGGCCAACGAGTAAATCTGTCAATGCAGGTGAGTAGGTATCGATAACCGTGAAATGGTGGCAGAGGACCGACAATGTCTATATGAACATGGTCGAATCGTTCGGAGGGCCATCACAATTTTTTCCAAAGAGGCTATGTGTGTGTGTGTGCCGGGTAACTTTTGAACGGTTGGCACATGATGCAGAAATGAGTCCAGTTGGCAATGTCCTTTAGCATGGATGGCCAAACGAATCTTTCTTGTATGAGCTTTTTGGAAGCCTCGGATACCTGGGTGCGATAGGTTGTGGAAACAGTCAAAAACTTTTTTCCTGAACTCCAGTGGTACATAAGGTCCGCAAGTCTGTTGTTAGAGGTATCGCACAATAGTTGGAAAGGTCCCTGAGTAAGTTGTAATGACTGGAATTTCAATGAGCAGTTTGGGTCTTCACTCACACATTTTAACTCCTCACCAGTGGCTTGCAAGTGAGCAATGAGCGTGAAAATCCAGTGGTGCATTGGCATTCGATGCCCTGAATAAACGTGAGAGGGTATCTGCGACAACATTGCTGGAACCTGATATATGCTTGAATATCCGTACTGAACTGAGCTATTTAATTTAAATGCCTAATTTGTCGTCGGGGAAGCAGAATTTGATTTTGATGTGAATGCATAAGTTAGAGGTCGGTGATCAGTAAATATAGTGAAGTGTTGACCTTCAAGATTATGCCTGAAATACTTAGTAGCTGCATAAATAGCTAATAATTCTCTGTCATACGTGCTGTATTTTTGTTCTGTAGGGGACAGCTTACGTGAGAAAAATCCTAGCGGCTGGTAGTCATTAGAATGTCGAACGTTTAAGACAGCTCTGATGGAAATGTGAGAAGCGTCGACCATAATACTCAGCTTTTGGTTAGGAGAGTGATAGGAGAGAGTTGCAGCATTACCAAGGTCGTGTTTACATTTTTCAAATGCCTGATTAAGTTCGTCGTTCCAAGGAACAGGGCGTTTATCATTTTTATGTGAGTCTTTTAAGAGTTCATTCAGTAAAGCTTGGGTCTCGGCTGCCTTTGGTAAGAAGCGGCGATAAAAGTTTATCGTGGCTAAAAAACGTCTGAGCTCGACAATAGTGGTAAGGTTTCGGGATGTCGGCAATTGCTTTTGTTTTCTCAGGCAGGGGTTTTACGCCTGAGGCAGTAATGAGGCAACCTAAAAATGAAACAGATGGTTTTCCGAGTACACATTTGTTAGGGTTTAATGAAGAAACCATGTTTTATTCAAACGATCAAACACTTGACGAAGATGATGGATGTGCCGCTCTTCTTCCGCTAGTTCGATGCAAGTAAGGATGTCGTCAAAATAAGGGATGCAAAAATCCAATCCAAATAAAACCTTCATGTATAAAACATTGGTAAAGTTTGGCCTGAATTTATGTAAACTTAAACGGCATAGCCAAAAATTCAAAAAGACCAAAAGGGGTTTGACGGCAGTTTTTCGGAATGTCTGCAGGGTTAACAGGGAATTTGATGATAGGCACGGTGCTAAATCAAGCATTGAGAATATGTTCTTTCCTGAAAACATTTGAGTGCGATCCTGAATATGACGTACGGGATAGCAATTCGGAATTGTAACGGCATTTAAGCGACGATGATCCCCGCCCAGTCGCCAGTAGCCTTACGAACCATGTGCAAGGGGCTTGCCCAAGGACTTTTTGAAGGCTGAATGATGCCTTTTGATAGGAGAAAATCAAACTCTTGACATGCAGCTTGAAGTAATTCTGGAGATAATCTAGGTTTGGAGAAAATAGGAGGTCCTTTAGTTTCAATGTGATAGAAAATCGTTGGCATTGGTGGCCTCTCAAAAGTTTGCGAAGGATTCATCAAGCTAGGGTAATCGGCAAGAATTTTGTCAAATTTTGAGTTACCCATCAAAATATGAATGCTAGTACTGAGCGGGTTCACATTAGGAAGTCTACCGCAAGAATATAATTTTGTTTGTCCATTAATTAAACGGTTGTTTTTAACATCTATGAGTAAGTTGAACTTTGTGAGAAAGTCAACACCTATGATGGGTTGATTGACGTCTGCCAGGATAAAAAGCCAAGTAAATGAGAGGCATAAGTTTAAATTGATGGTCAAAAGTTTGGTGCCATATGTTGCAATTTTAGTGCCGTTAACGGCAAAGAGTTCCAATGCAGCTGGTATTTTGGCATGCTGACTGTAACTCTTGGGAATAACAGATAAATCGGCTCCGGTGTCAATTAAAAAAGTCAGCTTTGAGGATGAATCGGCCAAAAGAATTTGATTGATGTGGCGGTCGCAACGTTGGCCGGCAAGCTATCGCTGATCTAGTTTTCCGACTGCCGGAGATTGCATGGAGAAACACATTTTCGTGCCTTGGAACCAAGATTAGTATGGTAGAAACAGATGTTGTTGCACGGTTCTTTATACTGTCGATATCGTTCACTAGATCTATTACACCTACTGTTGCGTTTGGAATAGTCTCTTCGTTCACAGGAACGCTCACGGCTGTTTTTGAGGGCTAGCGAAAGTTCATTCACCTGCTTTGTCAGCTCTGCAACTTGCTGTTCAATGGTAGAGGTAGATGCCGTAGCAGCACTATTTATGTGTGGGAGAGTTGTGAGATCTGTAATTTTATCAGCTACAACTGCTAGTTTTGGAAGATCATCACTTAAGGCAGCAAGAATACTTTGTGTATTTTGCGGGAGACGAGATATCCATAGGGATTTTAACAAAGATTCTCCAACAGTCTCTCCAGCGAGGTTTCGCATACAGCAAAGTAATTGTGATGGGCGTTGATCGCCAAGTTCTAGCCCTTGAAGAAGTGTACAGTATCTTTGACCTCCTCACTTTCAGAATGCAATTCAATTAAGCGTGTTTTTAGTGCATCATATTTTGCCAGTCACTGGTGGGTGTAAAACGATATCACAAACGCCTATTAGAGAATATCAGATTCGATTGCAGATATCACATGATTGAATTTCGTGGAGTCAACAGTGATTTCCGGTGATATCAAACTGGGCCTCCT